ACTCCGAGCCTCCGTCATAGTCCCTACCTCGGACTTTGACTCCACCTTGGTCTTAGTCCATTGCATTGGTGACCTCATACTATGTAAACACCATTGCCAATATTCCTCGGACTTCCAACCCCGCCTCCGTAACCTCCGTAAGCTCCGCAACCCCCAAGCTTCGCGGACCGCCTCCGGCACTCTCGCCGTTTTGTAATGTATTTCTCGCAATTTCCCCTCATCCCTATTTGGACTACTGCTTCTTTCTATTCTAGCCAGTTAGTCATCACCCCCACTTCCCCTCATCCTCCTGCCCCTCTGGGCCTCGCCCTCTCTACCTCCTTTCGGACGTATCACAGGTCTTGCCCTATGACCTTCGGTACCACTCTGCTCCCTCTACCCTTTGTTCCCGTTCGGACATCTTCGTCCCGATTCGGTCACCCTTTGTTCTCCTTGTGCTTTTGCCCCTTCTTTATATATATCGGCGCTTGTACATACTCGTCTGGTTTCAGTCCGAAATCGACCTGAAATGCCCCCTAGAGACTTCCTGCTCACCTACTGTGAAATTAAGGACCAAATGGACAAACAGCAATGGCACAGCGCTCCGCTTGAGTCGCTGAGGCCAAGGTCCCTCCATGCTAAGTCTCCGATTCCACTCTGGAGTTGTCCGTTTCCGCCCCATTCTAACAGAACCTTTCGGTACCCCTTGGTATCATTCAGCACCTTTCGGTGTTTTCCTATTATCAGTTGGACTTTGACTAAGTCCTTTCCATTCCCCCTTATAAATACCCATAGATTAGAACCTGTAGTTCCTCAGTTCTAATCTCGACTAAAATGCTACCCAAAGTCCCTCTGAGTGAATTCCATTCCTGTTCTACAAGATACCTCAGACATAAGAAATACAAGGACTAACTGAGATGTAATGGAGGCACAGTGCTCCCTCTGAGTCACTGAGGCTGTGTCCTTCTTAGAGCCTCTTGTACCATCCAGCAGAACCGGGCCTCCTGGAGAAGCTTCGGTTCACTACCGGAGCTCTCAGATCCCCCTCTAGTTGAGCCCTGCCTGCATGCGGACTCACGCATTTACCCCTATGATCCGGGTTTTGACAATTGTCTTATTTCTAGGTTAACAAGCATCATGTTTACGCCTCACACCGCAGTCCCTCCCTTCACCACATCTATGTGATAAATCCTTTTTTCGTCATGTATTTGTCCAAAATCATGTCATAAAATCTCGTCCTGACAAAGCTGTGATTGTATCTGTAATATATCACTTAATGTTGTGACCAATCCCAACATTAGTTGTGTATTCACCAAGGATTTTATGTTCAGCAAGCACATATATTACATTTGAGCGACACAGATGGTATGTGGGGATCAGTGGAGATAGGAAGAAGAGCATTCAGATTTCTAGCAGTACAAATCAGCATGAAGATGAAGAGATTGTGGTGCAAGAATATGGTACAGAGATGGTCAAGAGAAAGTTGGATTTTGAATTGAATACTCAACACTGGATCAAAATATAACCTGAAATTAGATGCACCACACCTTCCTGACGAAATGAAAATGGACCTACCCACTTGGCACCACCTAGGAAAAAAAATGAACGGCACACAGCAAGAAAGAAGCCTGCAGGCGAAATGCCTATGAAAAAATCACAACTGTTTTAAAACCGGAGACCTAGTCATTCAAGCCAGCATTGCAGAAAAGGCAACTCACCACCCAAAAACCAAAAGCTGCCGGTGCCAACACTACACAACCTACAGATCCAAGGGATGCAAAAATCCCAACACCTGCTATAACACCACAGAGGAAATCCTGGGGAACCTAACCATGAAATCCAACCCATACAATCAAGAACCCCCAAAAACCCCTCCAGATGATGAAGACTGGGCAAGCATCAAAAAGCATGCCATCGGAAACCCCTCAAAAAAAATATTCGACCATCCCAATGCTGAACACAACTCCTCCCTAGCGAACTATAGAATTCTCAACAATGAAAATGACTACAAAAAACAAAACACACCGGCCCCCCAACTCCCCTACAGTAGATCCCCCCAAGACACAATAGTATTCATGGACGGCTCATGCACAAACAACGGTGAAACCACAGCCAAAGCCGGGTTCGGAGTCTGGTTTGGTCCAAACAATCAACGCAACATAGACAAAGCAGCTGACCCCAACCTCACCCAGTCAAACAACGTAGCGGAACTGCTCACCATTTACCACACTGCCAGAAATACCCCCAGCAATGCCCATCTCCACATCAAATTGGACTTGGACTGGTGTATCAAAGCTCTGGGCCCCAACCTCCCATCCAACGAAGACCGTGACTACATAAGAAAAAAGAATGCCAACTTATTTAAAGAAGTGGTTAACCTACTAAGCAGACAAGCAATCACCACCTTCAAATGGATAAAAGGCCACTCAGGTATCCTAGGAAACACCAAAGTGGACAAACTTGCCACAAAAGGTGCTGCCAAGTCGCCACTCCTTCCCACACTGCCCAAAAGGGGCCAGACTCAGAACTTTGACCCAAGCCATGGCCCTTAAACTAATAAAAAGAGAAAATGCGCTTAAAAAGACCATCCAAATGAACTCAGTTAAAACTAACCTGAATGAGATCAGAAAACCACTCCACAACCTAATCAATGGGGAACCCACTGATGACAGAATCTGGATGGCCACCCTAAAAAACAAAAGGGATATCAAACTATGAACACAGGGGGATCTGCCAAAAATGTGAGAAAACAGAAAACATAGACCACATACTATTTGACTGCCCGCACAACCAAAGCCAGACTGTATGGGACACCATTAAATACCTCTGCACCCAGAAAAGAATGCCCTGGCCTACAAACATGAATACCTCACTCATAATGGCGACCCCACTATGGAACCTCGAGGATGAAGAAGGGCTTGCTAGACCGAGCCCCACACTCATCCCGGAATTGCGTAAATGCATTTCCCTGTGGTGGAGTCTAAGGCAGTACTTAACACTAACAAAACCACAAACAATAGACACAACCACCCTCCTTGGGGGACAACCCCCCACACTCAAACCCCCAGGTAGTAAACCTATCCAGCGAAAGCTACCAGCAGTTCCACCAAAAAAAAAGAGAGTTGGATTTTCTGAGGAAATCCTGGGCATGATTTTATGCTGGAATTACTTTTCCCTGTGTCTGATGGGGGGGACTTCCCACAGTATATGTTGGGGTGATGGTACCAGCAATCCCTTCAATGTGAGTACTATGAACAATGGACTTCACATTCTATATCTTGGAAGAGGTCGCATTGTGAATAGTAGAGCCTGATCCACTCAAGCTCATTATGGGATGGATTCTGTGGTTGTGTTAGGATGAATTCAGATCGGTTGGAGCCAAATTAAAGTGACTGCTGCACCCAGAATCTATGATCCAGGGTTTGAGGGAGTTGGTGTGCTTGTCAGCAACAAGGGTAGATCCTGATATGAATTCGTGGTTTGGGTACGCTCCCCACAATTCACACTTGCACTTTGCTCAGCCACCTTCTTCTGTTGGTGACTGTCAGAGACCAGACTCGAGACGAGGGAATGTCTCCGTAACGGAGGGCTTCGGCCTCAGCGACTTCTACCAAGAGCGCTGTGCCTAGTGACACATCCGTGCCCTAACTTACTGACTGGCACTTAGAACCTAGGGGGGGTAACTCTCGTTGATTTTTCTACTAGGGCGTAACCTATGTACAAGTGGGATATATATGGTTACAGCGGGGACGGTTCCGCAATTGGCGGAGCCGACGGAGCGGAGCTAACGGGGTTTAACCATTAGCCAACTGAATATTACCGACGAGTCGGTTCGCGGGGTTAGCGGAAAGGCAGGCGTTAACCCAGAAACGGAAAGGAGGGATAGGCCCGAAGGTGGGCTCTGCAGGGCAGGCGAGTGTATTGCCCAGCGGAGGCGGGGGTGCGCTAGCGGACGTCGGAGCTGTCCGGAAGTCTTTGGGGCTCTGTACTTAGGGAGGCGTAGGTAATAAATTGAAATGAGGGGGTGGTGACCATCGAGGGGTGCCGAGAGGTTTGCGGAATACGGGGGCTCCGAGGTTGGTGAGAGAGGAGCGGAGTAGAACGGAGGGAACGGAGGGACCGGAAGTCGATGGCCGGGGATGGATATGACAGTGACCAATCTTGCCGCACTTCCAACAGGTTGGCAAGTGAGCCAGATAGGGTCAGGATCTTTCTTCTTTGGTTTGTGGTTTTCTGGGGCAAGCGCTGTTGGGATGAGGCCAGTCTTGTTTGGTGCCCACGTTTCCTCTGGCAGCTCATGCTTGTAGCTCATCAGCCTCTACCCTTCTCTGTAGATCAAGGTGGACACCCCAGTGACCAATCTACGAGCGACAGGGTGACGGTGGCAACATGTCTGATGGCGATGGTTTGGCAGGCTGAATGTGCCTTGACCTCTGCGAAACAGGGCCTTCACCCCCTGACATCCTCACTATGTTCATTGGGGCTCATGAACAGAGAGGCCTCCAAATGGCTCAAGCGTTATGTGGTCATTGCAAAGAGCAGGAACCCAACATCTGTGATGCTTTCTTTCTCTTCCTACCTCCCCTCCCCCACTATGTTCTTTTTACAGCTCCTTTTATCCTTACATGTATGCACGTAATACTATGAATTTTGTGACAGAACAAACAAATCCAGGAATTCCTGCCATGCAAACAGGAACTCAGTACATGACCCAGAGTGGTGGCGTATCCAAGTCAGGGGTTGCTTATGTATCTCTGAAATTTGTCCCTGCAGTGGTTGGGGCTGGTGCCAGTACTCTTCAGCCAACTATTACATAAGTCACAGTTGGGTGACCCGAGGCAGGTCCTGCCAAATTATTTGATACAAGTGCTCCTGTGGCCACAGATCTAATCACATGCTCTGTAGAGTAAGGACGAGGATGAGGATGAGGATGATGGCAGAGTGGAGTGGATGAGGAAAGGGAAGCTGAACACAAGTGACAACGTGAACATGCAAATGCAATCATGGATGTAGAGGCCTAGGCCTGCAAGAGCATTGAAACGTAACTCCAACCCCATTCTTTGAGATCAACCAGTCTACACCCAGCAGGCTATAGCCACTGCGGCACAGCCAATCGCTATTGTGAACATAATCACCTATGTACCACTTTGGCTCCCTTCCGGTCAGCTCATGCAGAACCTCCGTGGAGTTCTGCAGGTATTTCCACTTGATGGTGCGAAGACAGATCCCATCATCCACATTCGGATGCTTGTGAGACAATCTGTCCAAGCTATTGTTGGTTATACATATCACTGTCTCAAGTTCGTGCTGGGCGATATGATTCCCCAGTTTTCGATTTGCACCCTATGCAACTTGAGCCCCTTGCACCTATGCAACTTGAGCTCATGTTGAACAGCACAACAAATGGCCCAAACAAGGGTCATGGGTTTTAGCCCTCCATCCCCTGGGGAAGAGATAGGCACCTTGAGAGTCTCGGTGACAGGGAGCAAATCCATGGTAGTTAACTGGAAGCCAATACCAAAAAACATGACAGGAGGGTTGCTGTACTTGCTTTGGATGTATTCAGGTGGAAGCTGAGGACTGCCCCATGGCTCGTTGGCAAGCAAGTATGATTCTGTAAGGTGCTATATCAAGATGTGGATCAGCACAACCCAGACTACCTCACAGAACATAACATACACTCTGGAGCCTAAGGATATATGCCTCATCTCGTTTGGTCAACTGTCTGCCATGATTGGTTCCCCAATTGTCTGAGCTATGGATGCTGAGCTGGCGGTGGTGTCATCCATGACTAAATCTGTCTGGCCAACTCCGCTACAATACATCAGTGGGTCATGTGATTATCCCATATTCTGGTAGCCACCAGTAGCTGGACCTGCAAATTAACAGAGCAAGGCCAGGAAGCAGGGATTGAAGAGAGAGGTGACCATTGTAGTATTGACGTAGCAACCCGACGTGGAGCAGTGGCAAGAATGAACCACAGGGCAGTGCATATAGCACTAGTGTGCCACCTATTCTGGACGTTTCTGGAAGGTTTGGTTAGGCCATGTGACTTGTTCCCAACACCTCTTTCCTATTTTGGCTATTTCCGACTTATCGGCAAAGGCCACATTCACTCATTTGAATTAGTTTCTTTTTCCATCAGTTCTCATGCATATTAGCATGCTTTCATCCAGCAGTTATTCATTTATTTTGGTTCTATCCCATTTGCTATCGGTTATCTAGTTTGTAGCCTGACCCCATTTGATACACCGATATTTTTGTCAGGGCACACCCGCCTGACCCGGGCCCACCTGGGCCCACCCGGCCACACCACACCCGCTCCCCACTGCCTATCCCCTCCCCCCTCCTTCCTCCCTCTCCTCCCCTTCTTTTCCCTTTTCTTTCCCCTTTCTTTATTTCATTCTTCTCATCTTCTTCTTCCTGTTTATTTCTTTCTATCTACATGGACCACCTTCCCTTGTATCGATGTACTATTGACCCGTCCGGCCCACACACCCCGGATGGCTTCCCACTGTGCCCAGCACGCGCGCATGTAGCGGACGCTCTCGGATCCCCCACAGGGACACCCGGATGCCTGCGGCTGCCTCCGAGGATGACGTGGCACCTGTCATGTGACTCAAGCCGCATGTACATAAATGTACCTGAAGTGGGAACCGAAGAAGTAACCTTCTTCTCACATTCTCCACTTCAGTCTGAGTGGCCAGGGACCACTGTCCCGGATCGGGCCCACCAGTACGCACGCCTGCTCCACACCCCGCTCCGGCCTCAGTGCCGGCATTACCCCGGCCCTCTCGACCCCAGACACGTCCCTGACAATTTTATAGTTCCTTGCAGTTGACTTGTACCCTACCACCACATCGTACCCTAGATCCTAAATGGAACAGCTCCAGATATTCCATCAGCAGTGGTGCCGCAAATCCATCCGAGACCTAACAGCTCTTTACCAAGATGCTGAGAAGGGAATCCATGCTGAGCATCCCCTATATGGCCTCTACAACAAGGTGATGGAGCTGGCCCTATACTACATCTTCCCCTCTCAGGGCTCCTTTGGATTGTATTCACAACGACCATTGGACCCCCAAGAGACCAGAGCTATCCGAAGAAGCACCAAGAAAGAGAAAATGACTATTCCAGACTTTATTCTGTTCTGGATTGAAGGAGTTCAGCCACAACAGTGCCTAATGCTGATTGAGATTAAGAGACACCCGAATGGTTGGTTTTCCCCTCCAGACATCTTCGAAAAATTTGATGATAGGTTCATAGCCACCGTGATGTATGAAGGGCTGGAAGAACACATGGGGGATGATTTTTTGGTGGAGGTACCAGCTCACCTTCGCCAAATCATCATTCAAGTATTCGTGGGATTTCATACCTATCCCCAACAAGAAATAATCCATCACACCCTGATCATTGGGGCATTCTTTGCTCTGTTTGAGTTTAGACGCCCAGCAGTTCTGCCACCATTTCCAAGTATGTTTAGGTCTTCATTTTGATTTCCAGAAAGCTAACTTTGTGAGGAGCTTCGAAATTTAGATATCTCAGCAATAAGGATGCATCCCAGTTGATCCCCCGTGACCACATCAGACTGCTGATCTTCTGCCAACCCACCCTTGTTCACGATGGCATAAACATCACAAGTATATCACCAGCCTTCCTGAAATGCATCCTAACATGTCTTCCATCGGACATACACATCTGGAGCAATGACGATGGTCCGGCTCAACTAGGCAGTGAGGCTGTTACTTCGTTCGCTTCAGAACAAGAAGTAAGTGTCATCTCATCCATCAGTGTAGCATCAAACTAAATGCAGGTCAGGCCATAGTGAAGGGGGAAGATTTACTTGACCTGTTTTACCCTTCCGACGATTCTAGTGATGAGATGGTTGTATCGGAGGACTCCAAGGACTCCGAGGCTGCAGACCCATCTTATGTACCTGAGGACAGCATTCCATTTAATGCTGTTATGAATGTAGCAGGGCAGGATTGAATTAGTTTTTGTCCCTGTGCTGCAAAAAATGAAGTGAGTGTACTGATCATGGTGGATTTCCCTGATTCATGGTGTTCAATGCATGTGTTGAGATCATCTCAAATGCACGCTTTTGGTCTGTTCGAAGTCCACTGAAGTACATAGTTCATGGAACAGCTCCAGATTGTTTAGTGGAGTGATTCCACCACGCATCTTGATGCCATGCCAAACTTTTTCCGCCTAAATCAGGGAAATTGTGTTGTTAAGGAAACCTGGAATCATCGCAAGTGGGCATGGAGAGAATGGATATCCATTGAAACCTGCATATTCTGGACCATCTTTCTCTGCGACAGCGAAGTGACAAGGGCACAAGTAGAGAACTATTTTGGACTAGACACTTACACGCTGATGAAGCACATACTCAATATTTATCGCTTCATAAGTACAAATTGTTCTCCGACCCCATCCTTATGCTATCCTTTAAACCTCACACTCTTTTGTTTGACATTTGCTTTTTATTTTCCATCCTCTGTCCTTAAACACAACTGCTACCATCACACTCATTTTTTTGACAAACACTCCATCTATATATACCTGCCAACACTCTCATTTTATTCCCATCCATTCCTCCACACCCTTTGTTTAGAACATCAGCAAACCTGGATGCAGAGGTCTGAGAGCTCATAGAGCTCTCAGAGCTCTCAGAGTTTCAGTACTTTGAAATTGCAGGTCCCCTTCTCTCAGAGCTCCCCAAAGTAGTCAAAGCTCCGAAAAGTAGTCAAAGCTCATAGAGCTATATTTGCACACAGGGGACTATTATCTATATGAGCTCCCTGAGTATTTAATTTATCCGATATCAAAAATTAAAATTTAAGAGCATTGACTCTGGCATCATGTGATGAGTCACAGCCAAGTCCCTACCATGCAGGAAACTGAACAAACCAAGCTTAACTTTCAGCCCCCAATGCGGCACTACACACCAAGGGTATATAGCCAAATTAATATATAGACCAAATTTAGGGATATACATATATGGTTAATCTGAAATTACTCAAGGAAAATGCGGGAAAATGAGTGGAGAAATGGGGGGGAAAATGAGGGGAAATTTGAGGGGGGAATGAGGGGGGAATGAGGAGGGGAATGAGGAGGGAATGAGGAGGGAATGAGGAGGGGAATGAGGGGGGAATGAGGGGGGAATGAAGGGGGGAATGAGGGGGGAATGAGGGGGGGAATGAAGGGAAATTTGAAGGGGGGAATGGGGGGAAATTTGGAGGGGGAATGGGGGGGGAATGAAGGGAAATTTGAAGGGGGGAATGGGGGGGAATGAGGGGAAATTTGGAGGGGAGAATGGGGGGAATGGGGGGAAAATGGGGGAAAATTGAGGAGGGAATTGAGGGGAAAATTGAGGGGGGAATGGGGGGAAATGAGGGGGAAATTGGGAAGGAATGGGGGGGGAATGAGGGGAAATTTGGAGGGGGGAATGGGGGAGAAATGGGGGGAAATTGAGGTGGGGAATGAGGGAAAATTTGAGGGGGGAAATGGGGGGGGAATGAGGGGGAATTTGAAGGGGGAAATTGGGAGGGGGGAATGGGGGGGAATGAGGGGAAAATCGAAGGGGGGGATGGGGGGAAATTGAGGGGGGGATGAAGGGGAAAATGGGAGGAAAATGAGGGGGAACTGGGGGGTTTCCAAAAGTCAGGGAAAATTAAGGAAAATTCAGAAAATGGGGGACTTTCTAAAAATGGAGGATGTCCAAAAAATCAGGGGAAATTAGGGGGAAAATCAGAAAATTTGGGATAAGTTAGGGAGAGATATTTCAGGAAATTAGGAATAATTGGAAAAGAAATTAAATCACTTTTTTGATAATTCAATGTGTATTGGAAAGTGCCAAAGTGGGGCAATGTAGCAATGCATGTTTCAGTGTTAGAAAAGTCTCCCACCATGTTTTGGTGAGCCAAATAACCATGGCTTTTTGACCACAGGAAATTTGGTGTCAAAGGCTTGGATGATATCTGAAGAATACATCAGCTTTTTGTTTGCTTTATTGGGTGGTATTTTTAATTTACTTCAGTTGGAACACTTTTTTAAAACTGATTTATACCCTACATAACATGCATGGTTACATTGCCACACTTTGGTGCTTTCCAATTCACATAGAATCATCAAAATTGGTTGAGTTTTGAGCAAGAAATGAGATGAAAGATAAAGTGCAAATTTTTGAATTTCAGAGTTTTCCTCATATTTTGTAAATAGCAATAAACAAATAAGGTGCTGATTTTAGTAAACACAAAAGGTATATGAGCTTTCAGAGCAATGACAATGGCCATTTTACACACACATATATCCATATTATCTTTGCACTACTGGTGTCACGGCCATGCATTCCGGCCTGTTAGCTGCCCATCCCGATGCCGCCCAAGCCCGTTACCACTATGCAAGTGTGAGCGCAAGCCCCAACCTCAGCCCTGTCCTTCATGAGGACTCCCTGCTCACTCCCCCGCTTGCCCCTAGGCTCCCCTGCACCTGGCCAACTCCCCCACAGCCCCACCAACCTTCCTGCCCCGAGTCCGCCTCCAGCACCATGCCCAGCGCAACTTCCCTACCCCGCCCACTTGGCCCCTACAGGGCCGCTATCATCCCCATGCCCAACTCCGGCCCAACTCCGAGTCCAGCGCCACTACAATACCATCGCCGCTATCGCGGCCCTACGCTCTTTCCTTTATTTATCTGTTATTGTTTATTTTGACCCTCGGTCATTGCCAGCTGCTGTGCGGCCAACCCTGCTCCTTATTCTTGTTTGCTTCCGGACCCTTTGGCCTCCGGCCTGGGTCCACTTCCATTCATTTCTTCCTCCTATATATATCCTGTATGTTACTTTATTGTACCTTAGCTCTAATATCGATGTGACCACGACCCCTAAGTCCTGACCCCAACAAGGCAACCCCAGTGAGTCCGAAATGAGGGCCAAGAGACAGCTAGGGGGCACAGCACTCCCTTTAGAGTTGCTGGGGCCAAATGCCCTACCCTCGGGCCTTGTTCACGGCATCATGGCCATCACGGCCTATAGCGGCCCGCAACGGTGACCCTCAGTGCCGACCCCAGACCAGTGTCTAACAACTGGTGCCAAAATAACTAAGCAGATTTCATGGAGATATGAAGACCATCCATTATTTAAAAACAAAAAGCTCTATGAGCTCTATGAGCTCAGTGAGCTCATAGAGCTCATAGAGCTTTTCAAGTAATGATGCTGGCCATTTAATATGCATTTCCAAAAATGTATATACATATTATCTTTGCACTTCTGCATCCTTAGGAGAACAAAATCATTCAAACATTTAATTTTCTCCACCCAATGTGTAGAGGGTGCACAGCAAAAAGACTCAATTTGCTCACAGAGCTCACAGAGCTCCCTACCAAGTTTGCTGATGAAAAATCTAAAAGTATACATTGATACCGCAGTTAATTTATGTTGTGGAGATATTTTGGCCAAGTAGCATCTGAGTCATTCAACCCGAACGAAAAGCTGCAACCGGATTCAAAAAGCCTAGTCACAAGGAAGGCCAAGGCTGTACAGCAGCCATTTCTAGTTCTGCATGGCATCAGAAAGTTCGTCAGTATGGTTGTGTTAGAACGGGGCGGAAACGGACGACTCCGGAGTGGAATCGGAGACTTAGCGTGGAGGGACCTTGGCCTCAGCGACTCAAGTGGAGTGCTGTGCCATTGCTGTTTGTCCATTTGGTCCTTAATTTCACAGTAGGTGAGCAGGAAGTCTCTAGGGGGCATTTCAGGTCGATTTCGGACTGAAACCAGACGAGTATGTACAAGTGCCGATATATATATAAAGAAGGGGCAAAAGCACAAGGAGAACAAAGGGTGACCGAATCGGAACGAAGATGTCCGAACGGGAACAAAGGGTAGAGGGAGCGGAGCGGTACCGAAGGTCATAGGGCAAGACCTGTGATACGTCCGAAAGGAGGTAGAGAGGGCGAGGCCCAGAGGGGCAGGAGGATGAGGGGAAGTGGGGGTGATGACTAACTGGCTAGAATAGAAAGAAGCAGTAGTCCAAATAGGGATGAGGGGAAATTGCGAGAAATACATTACAAATGGCGAGAGTGCCGGAGGCGGTCCACGAAGCTCGGGGGTTGCGGAGCTTACGGAGCTTACGGAGGTGGGGTTGGAAGTCCGAGGAATATTGGCAATGGTGTTTACGTAGTATGAGGTCACCAATGCAATGGACTAAGACCGAGGTGGAGTCAAAGTCCGAGGTAGGGACTATGACGGAGGCTCGGAGTAAGGTACGAACGGTGTCCGAGTACGAAGTACGGAACAGCAGTGGACAGTCGTAACTTGGCGGAAGGGTAACGGAAGGAGGAGAGAGGGGACAGGTAAGGAAGAGGGAGTGGCGGAAAGGAGAGTAGTCAGGTCTGAAGGTGAGTATCGGAACGGACGGGGGAAGCGTAGGGGGATGATGGGAGGGTGGAGGTGTTGTGAGGGGGGAGCGGAGTTGTAGGAAGGGTGGCGAGTGGGGCGATGTTCGGTCCGAGATGAGTATCGGAGCGGACAGAGAAGGGGTCGGAGAGGTAAGAGGAGGGGTGTGTTGCCAAGACCGAAGGTGAGTATCGGAACGGCAGCGGTAGGTTATGACTCCGGAGGTGAAGAGGGTGGAGGTCCGGAAGTCGGGTCGGGGTTGGGTATGCACGGATATGACAGGTTGAGGGAATGTTAAAGAAATGGGTTGAGGGTAACCCACATCTTTCCGTCCTTATAGACGACTTAGAATCGTCCACCTCATGTATGTAGGGCAGTTTAGTCGTGCAATTAGAATTATCTGATGGCCGTGGAGCTTTTGACAGAAAGCTGAGACCTTGCGGTGAATGGGAGCCTGCTACGACGGATACTTGGTGCTCGTTACATGAGCGTACCGTGCGTGGTGTAGGAGAAATAACGGCCACACTATGGAAACCCATTATGGAAATATGCCAGATAAATCACAAAAACCTCATACAACAAGTAGATATGAG